TAATGCTAATTATTATTCAGAGGTTGCTGCATGGTATCTTTTCAAAAATCGTAATTTCTTTGTTTTTTTTTTTTTTGGTTTTTCTCCGGTACCGGGAACCGAACTCACGACCTTGCGCATGCCAGGCAGGCGCTTTTGCCGCTGAGCTAAATCCCCAGCCCCCCAAAATTCGTAATTTCTTAGTATGTATATGATTCCTCATCTCTCCAAGTGGCATAATGGAAGTAGTGAACAGTACATACGATGTGCCAGAGATTGTTGTAAGTGCTTCATTTCATTAACTCATTTAATTCTCACGGTCAACCCTAATATGGCTAATGATACTGCTCCCATGAGGTATAGAACTCACAGTGAGTGTAATAACTTGCCTAAAGTCAACCCAGCTTGTAAACAGCAGGGACAAGCATCCTGGGTCTAGGTCTTTCTCTTAACTGTAGCCCTTCTCTAATGATGGCTGTTTACGGAGACTGAAGCACTTGCTCATATGTCTGTGCTTTTTCCTTCCCCATCTCCCCACTCCCTACTCCAGTACAGTGTGCGATGCTCATTGTAAACACTCAACTTGAGTTCATGAGTGAATGGGTAAAGCATCGCCTGAGCACATGAATGAACACAAAGTCATAACCATAGTTTGTGGAGAACTCAGGCATCGAGTAATAGAAAACCTCCCCACTGAAAACTACAGTGTAAAGAACCAACTCTCTCTGTACAGAAAGTATAATAAATTCTCTGTTTTTGTAACAGCTTTGTTAACCAGATGTGTATATCAAAATGGTGACCATCCAATGGAAGAAGACATAACACCTAAATTTCTTTTTAAAAAAAACAACCTCAAATCTGTAACACTGACAGTGAAGATAATGCTATTAATTAGGGTGCAATGTAGCTATCAGGAAGATACAAAAATAGAGTGGTTTAAGTTATGTAGAATTATAGTTTACATTTATATAACAGAATAGAGGTAGACAAAGCCTGTTTAAAAGCCTTACCATCTTCAAAATATATCTTCCGTCCTTGTATCTAAATCCTTTAATGAGAGAATGCAGAGGGTACAACTTGGAAGTGATGAACATCAATTATGCCTGTGTCTTCCTGGCAGAACAAAGCCTCCCATGACACTTGCTGGCGGGCAATGGTGGGCAATATACTCTGTACCTGAGGGCAGGTGCCTTTATAAAATTCAAGGGCACTATTCTTTTAAAATGATATTATTTCTATTGATATTGTCAAAATTAATATGCAGTCTGTCTGAAGTAATTTCCCACAAAGACTGAGTTCAATAATATATGAACCACTTTATTAATTAGTGAGAATGGAAAATGTGTTCAGAGGACCACAGCAATCTCCCAGCCAGGAAGAGTCACAGTAATGGAAAGATCAGAAAGGCTGCAGTGGTCTGGCTTTCGGCCCTCATGTTCACTGGCTCTTTATGGAAAATTTCGTGATTACGTCTATGATTTTGGAACTGACCATAGCTAAAGATATTTCTTTTTTAAGGTTCTCTCCCCAAGATTCAGCTGTGATCAAGTGGGGACATTTATGCCTTTATTTGAATAACTAAAAGTTATCAGATTAGCAGAAAGAGTCCTGCTTTAAAAAATTAGAGTATGGGGGAGAATTTCAAGAAATAGCATGATCTTTGGCTTCACAGGGCCACTTTGCACAAGATGTGTTGCTTTAATCCCTCTTACTGTCTCCTGGAAATTGCATCCACATCTGAAAACACTTTAGCTATGTCTGTGTGCTTTACTTTATTAATTTTAGACATTGCCTACTGAGTCTTAGCTCACTGACCAATAACGGCATACTTCCCGCCCAATTATATTAAAATTTCAGCTCATCTATTCATGTTCTCTGTAATTGTAAGTAATATACTTACGATTCATATACTTACATATTCATTTCCTATTTGGTCAATTATAGACAGTATTTCTTGATTCTCTACTTTGAAGGTGAGGCTATTAGCACTTCTAACATTTCTCTCAGCTTTCATCTTCTCTTCTAACCTAAACTTTTGTCCTCTTTATTCTTATGTGTCAAATTTGATAGCGCTATGTTGTTCATTAACTATAATTAAATATGTTGTAATTTGCTTTGTATGATTTCTGAAATCTACAAAAATGAATAAATATTGTTTAAATTATTATTATGAGTGCAATGGACAGACGCTACCAGCTGATTTGTATACTGCGCTTTCTATCTAGGAGAAACTGGTATAGAAAGAAGAGGGAAAGGGAAGAAAAAAGGAAAAAACAATTCAGGTAGATGTAGAACTTGGAATTTATTGTCTTATGAGCCTGGCCTGTTGGAAACTGTCAGAGCTGGCTATGTCATGGTCAGAATATAGAAAGGAGGTATTTTATAACCAGAGCTCCCTTTACATTAGCAGTGCCTCCATACATTATTTTGAGAGCTCATCTGAAACAGAAAGTATGTGCCAGTGTCACAGGAAGGGAACTGGGAAGCATTTTCAGTGATCCTGGACTTCTTCATTCCCCTTTGCATCTCAGGGTCATTAATATTCTTTAAATTAAAATTACAGTCTGATACTAGGTAATATCTCTGTTACTTGAGTGTTGGATCCAACAATCTGGGCTCCTGTTTGTTCTCATCTATTTCTTACCGGCCACTGAAGAAGCAATATATTTTCTTTTTCATTTTTAAAATGTTTTCACTTTCTGTTTATATTTTCTTACAGATGTACATCCCCGTACATCTTCTGTTTATATTTTCTTATTGTCTTTACAATACCCTTGTTTCTCTGCAGCATCCTTTCCTAAGAAATATGGAGTGGAAAGTACCTTTGCTGGACCTTGCGTATCTGAAAGTATCATTATTGACTTCTTACATTTAATCAGTCAGTTAGATGCTGTATAATTTTGATAAAAATAGCTTTCCTTTAGCACTGTATAGGCGATATAACACTGCTTTTGATGTTGAGAAATCTAAGGCCATTTTGTGCGCTGCTTTACCAAAGTATGCAGCACATCTCTTTAATCCACTTCACAAATGGTTTTACGTTAGCTCTTTCAAAAGGAAAACTAGAATTGCAAGGGAGATGCCTGAAACGAAGCAGGTCATTTTATCTCTTATTTTCTCGACTAAAATTAGGAACTGGAAGCATCACTAAGTTTCTTTCTAGTTTTATAAATCATGATGAATAGTAAATACCTAATTCATTTCCTCTTCTTTTCTTTCTTTTTCCTTTTTATTTATTTATTTTGTGTTTTGAGACAATGTCTCAGTGAGATGTTCAAGCTGGACTCAGACTTTCCATCCTGCTGTATAGGCGATATAACACTGGAAAATGTGTTCAGGGGACCACAGCAATCTCTGAGCCAGGAAGAGTCACAGTAGTGGAAAGATCAGAAAGGCTGCAGAGGTTTGGCTTTTGGCCCTCATGTTCACTGGCTCTTTATGGAAAATTTCCTGATTACGTCTATGATTTTGGAACTGACCATAGCTAAAGATATTTCTTTTTTAAGGTTCTCTCCCCAAGATTCAGCTGTGATCAAGTGGGGACATTTAAAAAAGGTATTTTATAACCAGAGCTCCCAGTAGCTGGGATTACAGGCGTACACCACCCTATCCTGAAAGTTGTCATCGTTTTAATGAGCTTTTCTACATATTTTTACTGTCCTGACGTACCCTATCAGATATTTTAATAGTAGTTAGGCCATTAATGTTATTTTCAGTTTATTGCTGAAGAAACTGAAGCACACAGATGTTAAATAACCAGGTAAAAGTAAAACAGCCTTCTTTTTTTATATTATTATTATTTTGTTGTTGTTTTTTTTTCTTGTACCAGGAATCAAACTTGTGACCTTGCACTTGCCAGGCAGGCGCTGTGCCACTGAGCTAAATCCCCAGGCCCTAAAACAGCCTTCTTTAAAATCTAAGCCTTCCTGCAATTGCAGCTGACTGAGGCAGGAGGATCGAAAGTCTGAGCCTAGACTGAGCAATTTAGTGAGTAAACCAGACCCTATATCAAACTTTAAAAAATGGTGGGGGCTGGAGAAGTGGGTTCAATTCCCAGAATTTTTTTTTTAAAAAAAGTTATTTTACAAGTTACTGAAAATATTTATAATACTACTTTGTTAAAAATAAAGTGTCTTGTTTTAATATTTTCCCAAAAGTATTTTGAGAGACAGAGTTGTCTAAGGACTTTTCGCTCACATTATAAAGCAACCATCCTGCTGAGTGCCGTATTGTGTGCATGTAGTCCCGTCTACCACAGAGTGAAGCACATTGTTCATTTCTGCCCAGGAGTTTGAGACTGGCCTGGACAACAACGTGAGAGTGTGCGTAAAGAACAAAAACAAGCTGCCCTCCATCTGTTGAATACATTTTTACAATTATAAGCCATTGGTGGATTTATGAGGGTGAGATTTGATCAAAATCTGGAGCACACACACCAGCACGAAGGGTCATGATTCTATAGCAGTGCTTCAGCGTGAAGAGTGGTTTTGATAGGACTCAGTGAGCAATGCGGAAGAAGGCAGAATCAATGTTTTAAATCTTTGACACATGACATGCTGAGAAATTTTAATATCCCTCTTAAATAAGATTTCTCTTGTAATGATGTCATGACCCGGAACACTGGCACTGAGTGTTTGTGCTCGGTATCCTCGGTAGAACACAGCCGTGGGAGACTAGTAGTACTTGGCAAAGAAAAGAGATCGAAGCAAAGAAAGGACCACGGGGGATTTCAAATTTTTTTAAATGAGCTCACATTTAGTTGGATTCCAACATGTCCTAGGCATTAAAGAAAGCACGGAGTGAGACTTAATCCCTGTGCTGGGCTTACAGACAGACTTAACTAAGTCTGAGCTGAGGGAACATGAGCATTGCCTCGTCTCTTTCAATGACGCACTTTCTTTATTTTCATAGTAAATCATGTCTACTATAGACAATTTAATACCCCAAAGATACAATGAAGAAATGTAACACATCACCCCGAGATGAATATAATTAATATATAACATATCTTTAATTGGCTTTTTTCCTATGAGAGCGTGGAAATTCTAACGCACACCTCGCGTCTGCCCTGAAGAGAAGCATGGCGGGTAATGTGGCTTCAGAGCCCGGATAGGAGCCGCTGCTGCGCACTGCACAGGCCTTCGGTGGCGATTGGCTGTATCCTAGGGCAGTATTTTTCAAATTTGCCTGTGATAGGCACCAACTCAGTAACTTTCCAAAACATCACTCCCAGGTCCTTCCCTTGGGTTGGATAACAGCTTCTGAGCTTCTCTGACAAGTTCTATGTAGAATGAGATGAAAAAAATGCAAACATGGGCCTATGTAGCTTAGAATTGTCCAAAAGGAGATTTTTTTTTTTTCTCCTTTGCAGGGTATAAAGCAGGGAGAAACTCAGGAGAGCCTCTAGTAAGCCTGGAGAGAAGGAAGGCACATTTAACCAGGAAGAGTCATTGCGTATTTTAAGTAATTTAACATAGCCATAGTTCAATAGTGGAGAGGAGCTTTGGAGATAACGTTGTAACTTCTCCCATATCTTTTTCTATATAATATCTACCAATAGCGTTTTTGCATAATTGTGTAAGGACGTTTTAAAGGTGGACATTCACAAGGTTAAACTGTTGCCTACGTGGTCAAGTAACATATTCATTTTTTCATGATTTTCCAGGGGGAATTATGGATTTTAGAACTTTCTGCACCTCATAAAGAGAGCAAATAATACTATGTCAGTGAACTACAATATTCCTGTAATTCAGATGTACTTTCTACACAGAGAAAATCAATATTGCTCCAGGAAAGGTTTTAGATGATATATGGCTAACCTCAATAGCTCAGGGTGAAAATTTTTGGAGAGTCAATATTTTATACTGAAATAGGATATCATGATACAACAGTTGGGAAAAAAACCCAAAAGGTGGAAGAAACATTCAACACAAAAATTGTCTTGGACTCTTGTAGTTTAATAGATTTTGTAAAATGCAAAAACATTCTAGGCTATACGAGATTAAAAAGACACAACCAAATATAGCATGCATATAGATTAGGTCCTGATTAAGTAAAAAGGTAAAAGATAACCTTGGGTGAATTAGATATATTTGAATAGTGACTTCATGTTAAATATCATTGCATAATACTTATCAACATGCTGAAATAGTTAAGGATAAAGTGTTATTATATAGTACTTTTCAAATGATATGCAAACACATCTACATTCCATATATGGAGAAAATTTGGTATTCTACAAACTATTATTTTTTACTGAACAGATCATGAACTTTTTGGACATGTGGCTGATTCTACCTCTTGGGAAGAACTGTGGATATAAGCTTTAACATTTTATTCTGTCAAGGAAACTATCAAAGACTATTAAAATTTTATAAAAATTGTCAAGAGACAATTTGAAAGGATTACTCTACCTAAATATGGACAGATTAAACACTTATCAGGATAATTTCATGAATTTAAATGCATAAAATACATTTAATTCATGAGTTATTACAGATACATTGGATAATAATTGGCCATTCCTGGAAGGTGGAATAAATGATAATTGATAAAGATTAGAATTGAACATTTATTTTGCCAAAGTAAAGCTGTACTACTGGTTTAGTAAACAGGAGATGAAAAATATTTCTTTTTATGCAATGAGGTTAGCAATAAATGAAGAAAAAGTAATAAAATACCAACATTTTAGGTCCTAATTATGGTCAAACGTATCAATCATAAAACTGATCAAACCTTTAGATCCAACTAAAAATTTAGAAGAAATGTAGAAGTCAGAGGAACATATCTGAAGCAAAACTAAATAAAACAAAACTTTATAAAATGTAATAATAAAACTCAGGACTGTGGGAAAATCTACCAAACAAATACCTAGTTTTATCCTCAACTGAAATATGGATGAGACAGAGAAGGAGACTGTGGAAGAGAGAAGCCTCCAGGGCCATATTGTCCATTCCTTATTTGAGTCCTGATTAGTATAATCTACTAAACAATGTTAATGCTTTTTTCTTTTTGCTCAAGATTACTTTGACTGTTCAGGTTTTTCTCTTGCCACCTGTATTTGGGGATTTTTTGCCCTAGTTCTGTGAAAAATGTCATTGTTTTTTTAGTAAGGATTAAATTCATCTGTATATTCCTTTGGGTAGTATGGGTATGATTTTTAATTATATCAATTCTTCCAATCCATGAACACAGGATATCTCTGTATTTATTGTATCGTGTTCAATTACTTTTATCAATGTTTGATAGTTTTCAGCTTTTTTGTTAAATTTATTTCTGAAAGTTTTAATTTTTTCAGCCATTGTACATAAGATTTTTTTTGATGTCTTTTTTAGATAGTTTACTTCTTGTGTATACAAATGGTACTCATTTCTGTATTTCGATTTTGTATCCTGAAACTTTTATTTCATTTCTTAGTTTTAACAGTTTTTGGTAGAGTTTTTTTTTTTTTTTAACATGAGTCTCAACCTTTATTATACATAATGTTGCTTGTTTTTAAATAATGTTTTAACAAAAAATATACAAAAACAAACTCTTGTTAGTTATGTACACTAACTATATGATATATTTTGTTTTTTATTTCTTTGTGTTAATAGTACATGATGTTTGCATTTCTTGTGGGGATTTGGCACATGTACCTAATACATGATAGCTCTTTTCTTCATCTCCTCTCTCACCTCCCAACACCTTTCACCCATCTTCTGATCCCCTTCCTTTTTTAAATACATGTTTGCAGCACATAATGTTGACATGCTTTGTGTAGAGTTGTTATAAAAGCTTTTAAAGCTAACAATAAACTACTTTTGATTGAAAACAAAAACAAAAAGGCCACACTTATTTTCCGTCCCTCTACATTTTGAAATTTTTGACAGAATGTGCAACCTTTATATTGCATATCTATTAACATTATTGTAGTGATTACTACTTTTCATAAATTTGTCTTTTAACTTTTGTACTAAGGATACAAATGTGTCACACACTACCAATTAACATATTTAAGGAATATCCGTATGACTCTTTACTTACTTTAACAGTGAATTTTGTGCTTTTAGATGCTTTTGTGTTTCTTGCTGCTTTTTCTTTTGGCTTCAAGAACTCCCCCTGGCATTTCTTCTAAGATAGGTATGGTGGTGGTAACTGCCTCAGATTTTATGTGTCTGGATGTTGTGGTTTGTGTCTGTATGTCCCCCCAAACCCTCATGACGTCATGGGGCAGGCTTTTAGAGTTTGATTGATTATGGGTGTGAGAGCTACACCGCCCTGGGGTGGATATTTTGCATATGTAAGGCAGAGGAAGAGGCTGCTTGCTGCCATTCCTCCCCTTTTTGCTTGTTGCTTTTGCTCTGTTCTGCCGCCATGAGCTGTAGCCCTCTGCCGTGTGCCACTCTGCCTTGTAACCTGCCAAGTATGGACTGAAACCTCCACAAACTGTAAGCAAAATAAACCTTTGCTTCCTTAATTTTGGGCATCAGGTATTTTGTCCCAGCAATGAAGGAAAAGTAACCAAGACACTGGGAAAGCCTTCATTTTCTTCTATGTATTCCTGGTTGGCAAAAGTTTTTCCTTCAGCACTTTGAGTCTCCCTCTCTCAGCCTGTAAGTTTTTGCTGATAACCACATTAAAACCCTTGGATAGGGTCAAGGATATAGCTCAGTGGAATAAGCACCTGCCTGGCAAGTGCAAGGTCCTGAGCTCAATTCCTGGTACCAAAACAAACAAACAAAAAAAACCCCTTGTATAATATATTATTTACATATATTTTCTTGCTGCCTTAGGGACTGTGTCTTTGTCTTTGATTTTCAACAGTTCGGCTATAATTTCTCTTATGATCTTTCTTTATTAAATCTTACTGGAAACTTTTAACTTTTATCTGTCAAAATACTTATATCCTTCTCTATTATTGTAAAGTTTTTTGTTATTACTTCTTTAAGTAAGCTTCTACCATTTTACCTTTCTCTGTTCTTTCTTGCATATCAGTGACTTACATTTGCTCTTTTGATGTTGTTCCATAAAACTTGCAAACTTTCTTCATTTCTCTTTACTCTTTTGTCTCCTCTGGATGTACATTTTCAAATAATTTGTCTTGAAGTTCACAGATTCTTTCACCATTTGTGTCAGTTCTGCTTTTAAGGTTCTTTGTTACATTTTTTCCTTTTACTCACTGTATCTTTCAACTCCAAGAATAATTTGCTTTTCAAAATTATTACTTCAATATCTCTCATTGTCTCATTCTGATTAGTTGTTTTCATAACTTCTTTAAATTTTTTTCCATCTTTTATTAAAATATGCCAATCTTCCTTAAAACTAATTATTTTGTACTTCTTATTAGATGGCCCATACATCTTTATTTTGTTTTTCTTTTTGTTTTTTTTTTTTGTTTGTTTTTTAGGTTTTTTTGTTTTTCTCAGGTACCAGGAATCAAACTCATGACCTTGTGCTTGCCAGGCAGGTGCTGTGCTGCTGAGCTAAATCCCCCACCCCTAGTCCATACATCTTTTAGGTCAGTTACCAGCACCTAATTTATTCACTTAATGATGCAAAATTTGTTCCCCTGATTGTGGTTCTGAGTTGATGTGAACTCATTTGAAAGAGTGAGGTCTTATTCCAGTCTTCACAGACTGGCTTGATCTCAGAATGTCCTTTAACAGTACGTCTGTACATAGATTCAGGATTCACTCTTTGGCATGGTCAGTCCCTAAGCATGAGACTGCTGCAGTTACTGCAGCACTAGAAGGCACCCTAAATCCAAGACCACTGTGTCTACAAGGCAGCAGGATGAAATGCCGTGGAGCATGAAGCTGGCAAAATGCTGACGTGCACTTGAAGCTTGAGCCATTCAGATTTGCCTACTAACTGGATTAGTTAGAGCCCATGGTCTCTCCCATTGGCCAGTGAGTGATGTGAACTAGAGATGGAATATACTTTGCAAGGGGCAATAAATTTCTATTTGGTTTTGGGACAGGACTAGGGGTGCAGTTCACGAGTACTTCTCTGGGTCCAAGGGCCATAGGGCTGTCTAATCCATTGTTCTACTGTGGCAAGTCCCCTTTAAGGGCCTAAGAAAAGGTGCTCTGCTTTCTTTCCCCCAAATGAATCACGTCTTTCTTCACATGTTGTTGCTTGAGGCTGTGGGTGTGTGACTCAGATCATGTAAAATTGTTCTTCCTTCAGCCCTCAGTTCACCTGTTTTCATGCTTGTGCTATAACCAGGTACTGTACTCATTCACCTGAGTTGCCTAGCCTTTAAAAGTATTTTCTTTTCCTTGCTTTTTTTTTTTTTTTTTTGAAGAAAAAGAATCTTTTACTCTATTACTCTTTCTAGTGCTACATGCTGCAGGGATAATGGAACAAATTGATATTTGTATGGGGATGAGCCCTGAAGGCTCTATTCTCTCATCTTGCCATTTTTTTCACCAGAGAATATTGTTTTTGCATTTGATGAGTGTTTTTGTCTTTTAGGGATCCATACTAAACAGTTATAGGCCAGGTAATATATTTGGGATATGCTCCATAAGAATATGAAAAAAAAAAAAAGCAAAGGTGGATGAGAATATTTGAGACCAGGTGACAGGAAAATTTTCTATTTTAAAATAAAATTCTGTTGACAGTCTGCACACTTTTATGTCAAAGAATTAACTCTAGCATGAAATGAAAAAATAAAAGCGTCCTGGGCTTCCATTTGGCATGACAGTCATGCATAATGCTGGTTGGAAGGGTAACAGGAATCAGTATCTCTTCTAAGGGTATGTCGCTGCTTTTGCTACAAAAACCCGTGATGAAGTTCTTCCTCCTACTGCCTTCATTTTACAGATGAGGAAACTCAAGAAGGGAGAAGTAAAGTGAATTTCCCAAGACCGCGCACTATGATTTCTAAATCCAGGTACTCTGGGTTCAGGGCTCCATTTCTTAACCACAATGATGTGTATCTCTGAGCTAAGATCTTCACTGTGAGATCTGACTGAGCTTAATTTGGTAATTTTTTTCATATGCACTTTGCAAGGAACTTTGTGTTTTATTTGGAGGGTATAGCTCAAATGTAAGTCTAGGCTAAAAAACAAGGTTGTATGGCGGTGCTGCCAATGGCTTCTATCTAGCTCTTCTCTATCAAAAACCAGGTTAAATAACCCTAAATTATTGCAGGCTGACCAGGCCTGAAATCTCCCAAGTGAGTGGATGGCAACGGTTTAAATAAATGAGACAGTGGAAATGATTTCAGGGCTCCAGGAGGGCCTAACTCTCTTACAGCTTTGATGTCCTCTGAGTTTAGCCAAAGAGTTCTCTGGGTGGCCTGTATTTATTTGGTTTTCAAACAAAGGAGAAGGATACTCAAGAAAACACAGGAATCTCACAGGACCTTGGGAGAATTTTCCCGAATAGTAAATTATGCCAGTCAGGAGAACTACCTTATCTTTAGGTTGGTATTTATTGTAGGAGTATGGAGACCGCAGCTGCAGTCTCCTTGTAATAATTGGGGTTGGAGCCAAACATCCTTAGCTGTGGCCTTGTCTTGTCAGACAAGGTGTCTAAGCTTTAGACAACTCACAAGTAAACATTGAAAGCCAATTGGTTAATATCAAATCCTTCTCAGAACCACTTTGTAGCAGTCCCCAACACTTCTCCACTTCCGATTTCAGCCTGTTTTGGAGCATGGAGAAAGAAGAAGTGGGCATAACTCTTTCACATGGACATGAATGTGAATTTTAGAGGTGGTGGGGATAGTTAATCATATTACCGTTCCCTTTGTCTGTATGAAAAATAGGGAGCAAGTGTACTTCCCTTTGTGGGTAAGAAATGCCCTGTTTCTAAGAGGTGAGAACAGAAAAATTGTTTTTTACTATAGCCATAGAATTGGCTATAGTAATATTTTTTATTATGTTTGGGCAGGGTAACTGACGTATAAGAATGAATATTTTAAAAAATCCAGCATATTGAAAGTCTCCTCTATGCTAATGTGTTCAGATATTAGAAACAAATCGACTATACCTATTAAATAGAAGAGAAAGGAAAATGGTACCCTCCAGGAGGCACCAGGGAGTTTAATCAGCTGCCTCAAATCACTCAAGCTGCAACACATCTAAAATGTTAATTAAGCAATTTTTTTTTTTCTCCTCACCTTTGCTCTGCTGGTTTTAGTAAAAGCCTGTCTGCCAGCATCACTCTCTACAGGTACCTGTAATTCTGTTTGAAGTTGGTGATCTGGGCTTGGCTCATAACATTCACAGTAGATTTACCTGAAAGATCAATAAAAGCATGTTCAAAGCTAGATTGGCTTCATAGAGCCCAGGATTTTTATTAATTCATATAAACTTCCTAAAACTTTCACTATAAAGAAAAAGAAAGAAACTTGAGAATATTCACATTGTAAGAAATTGAGTTGATATGATGGAGTTTCAGAATTGGTCTGGAGCCTGTGAATCCCCTCACATGTCAGAATTTGTGGAAGTGCCAAGTGCTGAGCTTTTCTTAAATCTTCCAGGAGGTCTTAGAATCGTCAATCACATCAAAAAGTGCTCGGTGAATTCCACCCTCTGTGTCCGGGATGCTGTGCAAGGTTAGTAATGTGAATTTTGGCCCACTGTGATCCGATGCCACCGGCATTGGTGGAATTTGTGTTTCTCAGTGTTAACTACATTTTAAAAACCATGTTTTGAAATAACTGAAGGCAGCATATAGCAAAGAAGAATTGAATCAGTCATAGAAAGTATACAAGTTCAATGTTGAAATACAGAAGCAGGATCGTTGCAGCTGGGGAAGAAAGGATGAAGTAATATTTCAGGAGACATCTAGTAATACAGAGAAAGAAAGAGTACATTTTAAGGGTGGTAAAATCCTGGCTGGAGTGGTCCTGACTGATTTGGTAATTTTTAACTCTCAATTTCTGTATCATTAGTCAGAGATCATACATAACTGTGATTTAAAGAAGCTAGTATTTTCTCATTTGTAGAACTATGACTTTTGAAGGCTGTTTTGAAATAATCCCTCCTCCTAATATGCATTGCATATTATTAAAGGTCAGGTGTTAGAAATGAAGCTATTTATAACACATTGTGGGATTTGAAGAGTCTTTCATGGAAGCTGTGGCATTCTCACATTGCGGTATCCAAAATGGGTGTTTTTGGCAATTTACAAAACTCATTGTTTTAGCCACAGGGCACAGGGTGCAAAGATTAATGTGAATCTAACTAGCATTTATCACTTACTGCAAATGTGATCTTATGCAAGAACTACTGTTAATTTTTCTATGTTGGAAGAGGTAGTAATCCTGTGTTTTAAAATTTAAATTTTGTTGTAAAGACTGTATGGTCTGACTGAGAGGTAAAATTAGGACCAAGAAACTAATCAGCCAGCAAGGAAGCTTTGATCTTTAAAATGCTGGAATTATCTTTAATCAGAGGAGATTTAAATGGGCTAAATAGTGGGATTAAGACAAAATTGTTATCATTTTGTGCACTAAAATGTTGATTCTATTTCTACCAATAGAAACAATGCTTTGAACTCAAGTTTTTTTCAATTAAATGATCTAGTGGTTCAGTTTAAAAAATTATTGCATCTGCTTAGCATAGTATTAATATCAGTTTTCACAACAATGAAATGTAAATGCTGACCTGAGATTTTATTATTAATTACCAGAGTTTTAACTCTGCACCTGTAGATTAACATCTGTAATTTATGTGAAAATAGTTTTATTAGAATGATTTTCCTCTGTAGAAAAATATCTTGGTATCTGACCCCGAATTTTAATTTTATTTAGTGAGACCTCTGTTAGGGGGTAGACAAAAGATGGCTTTGAAATTTATTATATATATTTAAATCATTGTCAAAAGACATGTATATTTTGAAAATCATATTTTACTACCAATGTATGAATATAAGTTACCAAGTTGACTAATTCCTATGCTGATCTATAGTTCCCTAATGCATGCATATACAGCAGGTTGACATCTTACAAATGTGACTGATCATTTATTTATTCATTACATGTTCATTAACTGGATTTTCCCAGGTTCTATAAGGGGTAGTTAGGTGTGTTAATGTTTCAAATTCCAAGGTAAGAAAATTTTATGGTCTATTTGTACTTACTTGTTTATTTTAAAAAATGATGTTGCTACTACCAGTCTCATGTAGAAAACATTTATTATTTCATATTCATTCACATACTCATTAAACATTTCTTACAAAACTTCTTCATGCCAGATTCTGTAACTGAACTTGTATAAAACAGCAACCACACTTTCATAGGCTTTAAAGCTAGTGATGGAGACTAATAAATAATAGTACAAAAATAATTTTGTATTGAAGAACATGTTTGTATTAGCTACTTTTCTATTGCTGGGACAAAATACCAGATACAAGTCAATGAAGAGATCTAATGAGGTTCTTGGATTCAGAGACTTTCAGTCCAGGGTCAGCTGTCTTCAAGGCGGAAGCAGCATGATGACAGGCCAGGGAGCCAGGAAACAGAGGACTGGGGACCAGGACCACCTTCCAGGTCACAGTCCAGTTACTCACCCTTTCAGCCTTGGCCCACTACTAACCACGCATTCTGCTGGAAATCATCATTGGGTGAGCCCACTTGTAAGTATAGTGTCCCCATGATCCAAACATGCTCCAAAAAGCCTGCATCGGAATCCAAGACACTTGTGCAACATTTTTGTTCAGAACCATAATATATTTCTATGGAGACAAAAAGTATTAATGAGGGAAATAAAATGTTGAATTTAGTTCAGAACATAGGGTCACAGGCTCTTTGTGTAGGTGAATGTAAGTAGTGACCTAGAGGTTGATCAAGGTTGACTGATCAGGTGAGGAGTGGAGAGGAACAGCCTCTGCACAAAGTCCCTGCAGGGCAAATGCCAAGACCACTGGGAAACCTACAGAAGGCCAGGTTGGCCCAGCGAACCACATGATGGAGAGAACAGACAAGAGGAGGGAGGGTCTGTTCAGGGTAACTCTGAAAGCAATGATAAAAGCTTACCTGAATGTGTAAGCAATGTATTATCTCACTAGTGTAAGAACCTGAAAGAGTGGATAAAAGTTAGGAGGAATGATAGACATTGTGAAATGAAAGGAAACTGCTCAAAAGTAAAGAGCGACTGGGGTGAGGGAAAAGAGAAAAGAAAGAAGGGGAAAATTATGTATACACAAAATAGCTAACATAGTCATACTACTGACTTCTATCACTCTATTGAAAGGAACAGTTAATGATCAATTATTTGATCCACCTTTCATGTCTATATTTGTTTTCCTGAGTAACCACCTTGAAGATATCAATATGTAATACAACAACCATTGTTAATTTCCTGTCGCCTTGTCTGTAATTCAATATTGCTTGTATTGTTCTTGTGCCATTTTGTAAATGGGTGTCTCTGTGTTAATATGTTTTCATTCTTTTATTTTAAAAAAGAACGTACATCTCACCCATTGTTGGTGGGAATCTGATTAAGAACTTTAGGTAAAAGAGTGATTTTATCTTTGCTTTAATAGCTGTAGAGACTGGGTTGGCATACCTAATATGATTCTTTGGGAGATCTATTATGAAGCTTGCAGAAGATCAGATGAAAATTAATGATGAGTGGGTCAGTATGCTAGTAGTGGATGCAGAGAGCATGAGAAGGACTTAATATTTATTTGGAATGTGAAACTGGTATAACTTGATAATGGGTATGAAAGTTGAAGAAGATGAAGGTGTCTAAAAGGATTCCTATGTTACTACTGTGAGTACCTGGGTGATTGATAGAGACAGAAAACCCCGCAGAAGAAATTTTTGGAATGTTCAGGGTCACGAAGACAATTCAATTTTGAACATACTAAATCTGAAATCCAAAGAGTGGTGGGATTTCCCTCAATCCCATCTGAATGATGATATTAATTAAGGAGATTGGTCTAGAGTTCAGAAGAGCACTGAGAAGTGAGAGAATTGGGAGTGTTGGTGGGATGCATAACTGATGAGAGAGGGGCCGCAAATATCAGAAGGGCACAGTACTTGTGATTTAAAAGTTCCAGTTGCATCTTCTGACACTACATCCTCATCAGACTTTTCATGTCACACAGGTTCTGCTAAACTGTGTTGCCTTATGGGAAAATGATTTCAGTAATTGTTGCTGTCAAAGTCATTCGCCAGAGCACAACCTCAGTGTTTACCCATGAGCATATCAGTGTCAAGGAAAATGTATCACTCTTGCCGGTTTTTTTCTGCAGTTTTCCTGAGGCTTTAGTGCGCATTCACATTGTAGACATGCATACATAGGGAGAAACCCTCCAGACCCTCAAGCACCAAAAAGTGATTCCCTTGAAAGAGTAATTACCAACAAACTAGAAAGTAGTATAAATTATTTTTAATAGGTTAAGTTTCCCTCTTTATCAAGATGGCTCATTTTGACAAGCTAGAAGATGAAGTGAAGTTTAAACCTCCTTTCTTACTGGCAGAACGGTGCTGGTCCCTCTGAGCACTGCTCATCACTAGAGGGCATTGTCATGCAAACTCTTCCACGTATTTCCATCTCCTGTGAAGCCTTTAGTGAGATCCATTTGTTGCCACTTCAAATCTACTATAAACTCCTCCAGGACAGGAACCATGTTGCACACATATTTATAGATTATCTTTGGTTCAGTAAAATATCACAAAATGTTTTGGGAATGAGTTTGTTTTGTACAATTGAACATGCTACTCTGAAGCCTCCACGACTTTATAGAGGATGAAGAGATGGTTTTACAAGTGGAAATCATTTGATTTTTTTTTTCTGTTTTTGATTTTACTTAAGGCAGATCTTCCAGACAGATCTTAATCTCTTTTAGGTGACTTCTCACTTTCAACTTCACACACACTAAGGGTTGTTTCTTTCTTTTCCAAAGGAAATTTCATTTCCCACCCATCTCCCCAGAATGGCATCCAGCACAGAGAAAAGTGCATGTATGATGGAGCCATGGGCACGTGCCCACGTGTAGCTTCCTATCTTCTCTGGCTCAGTTAAGGTCCTCCGGTTAGTGATGGTTGAGTTTGAATCACCTCTAGGTTTCTGGCAATCGTGTTCATTGGTGGGTGCCTAACGTCACTTGCTTATTGTAGACATTGCTCTAACTCTTGCTGTTGAAGAACAGAGTAACTGTCCTACTCTCTAGTGGCAAGGTTTCTGGAGCTAGCTTGTTTCTATCTTTATCTTTGACTTGCCTCAGAACTCTGATTCTTCTAAAGCTTCCCTGTCCCTTTCAAGGCTGTGACCTTCGTGCTCCTGTGCAAAGATTCTGTAAAGGTAACCCATCCAGGCAGCTATATCTGTGATATGCCACCTGCTGCCGGGTTGACTGGAGCATCATCATCAGTGCCTGCCATCCTAGATGAATTTGTTTCCCTCTTTACGCCATGTCCAAGAAGTGCAGTGCTGTCACTCCTGGTCCCAGGTTTCCTCCAGTCCTGTGTGGATATTTTCACACCCACAACATCTATCTCCCTTGCAGATGCTCATGACTAACCCCTTGTGCTAGGCGCATGGTTCTCAAGACAGTGCTATATTGGTTATCATAGCAAAGGTAGGTACCATTTTATATTTCAACTAACAAAATATCATACTTCAGTTCTACTCTGGTATTAATGGCTCTGGACAGACAGCTGTTCTATGAAAGTGGGGCTCTGTCCTAAGAGCCCCAATTCTGCTTCCTTGTTGCAACAAATTATCTAAATGACACATTGTTTCAATTTAAGTTATATACTGAATGTGAAGAAACACTGTAATTTGACTGGGGTGAATATACATATATATTTATATCTGTATTTGTATGTACATATATATTAGAGATACTTAAAATATGAAAAGTTGGAGTGACTTTTATATATAAATAGGATTTTATAGTTCAAAATAATTTTTGAGAAATTATGGCATTTAATTAAGAACATGCTTCATAAATGAAAATTATATATATATTTCTATGAATTCAGGCATGAAAATCACTGGGAAATGATATAAATCTAACAAAAATAAAATTATGTCATAATTTCTTCATATATTACACTAAAATTTTGAGATCATTGTAGGCTTACATGCAAATACAAGAAACATTACAGGAACACCTTTTTTTTTTTTTTTTTTTTTTTTTTTTTTTTTTTTGGTTTTTCTCCGGTACCGGGAACCGAACTCAAGACCTTGCACTTGCCAGGCAGGCGCTTTGCCGCTGAGCTAAATCCCCAGCCCCAGGAACACCTTTTATATACTTCCAGTGTCTGCCAATAATAACTACAACTACAGTATGATATTAGCAGCAGAACATGGACATTGATAGCTTCAAGATACAGAGCGTTCCATTACCTTAGGGACCTCTCATTTTGCTTTTTTATAGCCAACTTACTTCTTCTCTACCTACCAGCTCTTTATATGTAAGTAATTCCTGGTAACTGCAAATCTGTATCTTTGTCTATACTTCCATCATTTCATGAATATTGTAAAAGGCAATCATACAACATGGCTACTTTTTTCACTCAGCATAATGCTTTAGATATTCATCAAGTTGTTGTATATTTCAGTACTTTATTCTATTTTATTTTAGGATACCATTCTGTGATATGGATTACCACAGTTTGTTTCACCATTCAATCATTGAAGGACTTTGGAATTGTTTCCACTTTTTGGACATTAAGAATGAACCTGCCGTGAACAGCTCCACACAGCATTGTGTGAATTTATTTTTGTGGAGTAAACATCTAGAGATATAAATGGACTATATGGCAGTTTGAGTTTAAGTTCTTTTCTCAAGAAATTACCAAACTCTTTTTCAGAGTAGCATACCACTTTAATTTACACCTTGACATTATAAATGATCTGGTTTATTTGGATCCTCACCAGCATTTGGTATTGTCATTACTTTTTTTCAATTTTAGTTATTTTGGTTAAGTAGCTTCTAATATTCCATTATGTTTTAAATTTGTATTTCCCTAATTGCTAATGAAAACAAATATCCATTATCTTCTTTTGTAAAATATCTGTTCATGTTTTTTGTCCATTGCACAGCAGGATTTTTTTTCTTCTTTGTATATTTTTGATACTAATCTTTTGTTGTGTAGGTATTTATAACTCTTTCACATGTATTTATCATGCCTTTTCATCTCATCACAATGATTTTTTTTCCCAGAGCCAAAATTTTAAATTTTTGTGAAGTTCATTTTGTCAATATTTTTATTTTATACAACTTATTTTTATTGTTGTCTAATAAATATTTACTTATCTCTGGATAATAAAAATTTGTTCCTTTTTTCCTAAAATTTTATGTTTATTTTTATGTCTGTGATCCATTTTGAGCTAATATTCATATACAGAGTGAAGTTTAATAGAAGTTCTTTGGTTTTGTTTGGCCTAAGAATGTCCAGTTGCCCTTGACCTAACGTTGAAAAGACTTTCCTTCCAACCAAATTGCTTTTGCACATTTTCCAAAAAGCACATTGCTGTGGCTGTACTTGTGCATCCTCTATTCTGTTCCATTGACTTATATATTTGTCCCCCTAAGACACAATCTCAATAACAATAGGTATCCCATAATTCCTAAAGTCAGTCACTTCATTATTTTCTCAAAATTTTTTTATCTAAATCTTCCTTTGCCTTTCCATATACATTTTAGAATAATTTTGTATGTATCTATAAAAATGTTCCTAGGATTCTGGTAATTATTGTACCACAAACTTTACCAATTTGAGGATAATTAACATACTACTATTCTAATAAGTGACCATACTCTAAATAAATCCTTGAAATTTTTTTCAGAAATCAAAGTAGTTGTAACTTCTAGCACACAAAATTTATACTAAAGCTTGTTAACTTTTTGAATTTACATATGGCATTAAATTTTTAGTTTTGTGCCCATATGTTCATGGCAAGCATGCAGAAATACTATCAAGCTTTGTATGTATCCCAGCAGTTTTTGTGTTAGTATAATTACATGCCTGATGCTAAGTAATGTTATAAAGACAAAGGTTTAATTTAACTTACAAGTTTAAAGGCCGAAAGCCAAAGGCCAGGTAGCCTCACTGAGTTGGCTTCTGGTGAGGGCCTCCTGGCTACATCACAAGATGGCTGATGACATCACAGTGGTAGGAGTGTGTGCCAGAAAGTCAGGAAGCGAGTCCAAGGTTGCCAGGCTTGCTCATAACAAACAACCCGCAGTCTTTGGGTTTTCCACTAGAAAAGCACTAATTTCTCATAAAGGCCTAATCATTTCCCACTGAGCCCCACCTTCTAAACGACCCACCACCTCAACACCATTACACTGGGTGCCAGGCTTCCAGCCCTCATAGGACATGTTAAACTGTATCCAAATCAGATCAGTTTCTTTCTTTTATATACTGTGACTTTGCTGGACTCATTTATTAGTTTCAGGATTATTTTTATAGACTGGAATTTTAAAAAATTATACCATCAACACATAGGAAGTTTTTCTTTATTTCTTTTTCTTCACTTATTAAGCAGACTAGAACTGTTGGTTCTTTACTGCATAAGAAAGAGAGGGGGTATTGTTAGCTCATTACCAGTTTTATGGAGAAATAATTTGACCTTTTATCATTAAATATAATGTCAATTATAGATTTATCTTGGATATTAGTTACCATGTTGAGGAAATGCCACTTTATTCTTTTTCTTAAGATATTTATCATAAATGGGCATTGAATTTTGTCAAGTGCTTTTCTACTTTAATTGTCATAGTCACGTGATTTTTCTTTTTTAGTCTGATAATATGAAAAAATATTTTTTTCAGTTGTTGATATTGAACCAGCCTAGATTTCATGTAATAGTGTGTGACTGGTCATGATGAATGATTTCTTAAAAATATATTGCTGAATTCTTTTGATAGTACTGCACTGATGATGTTTACATTTATATATATGAGAAATATCGGTGTGTAGCCTACCTTCCTCTTTCCCTCCTCCTCCTCTTGTGTCTTTCTTTTTGTTGTTGTTGTTATTTTATCTGCCTGGTTTTGCTATCAGGATAATAACAGCTTCATAAATAAATTGTGAAATGTTTCCTCTGCTATGTATTCTGGAAGAAAATTATATATAATTAGCATTCATTCTTTGTATGTTTAGTATAATTCTTTGTTTCTTAAGAGCAGAATATTTTTATAGGGGGAAAGAAAGCTTCTGTCCAAAAGAGAAACAGAAGAGGTCCCTAGTGGGTGGCCAAAGACCCTGTCTTTTCTAGAGGGATTTTTATAGAGCAAATCCACGTGAGTCCAAAATGGGGAAAAATGGGAAATTGCACGGTGGCCTCAAGGTGGAATAAAACTAATCAAAATATAACAGCCATTGTTGAATTCTTATCATCTTGGATTTTGAAGTTGTGTATCATTTCTAATGGTTTACTGTTACTACTTTTTATTCTCTTTAAAATAAAAAAGGAGAAAAAAGATTACAAGCATAATTGCTCAGGTAAAATTGATTAAATTGGAATCAAGGGCCAGGGATATAGGTCAGTGGCACAAGCACCTGCCTGGCAAGCGCAAGTTCCTGAGTTTAATTCCCGGTACCAAAATAAATAAATAAATACATAGGGATAAAATGGGGAAGTAAGTCACGGAGCAAGTGGGTGTGAATACAGAACAGGGCTTTTCCTGTAGGGGTTGGGTTAGAGGCTCTTCCTGCTTTCCTCAAGATATCAGTCTCTGATGTTTGTCCTTAATATGTGGGTATACTTGTTTTGTCTTCTGTCTTGAGGTTAGGTCCTCAGCTGGAGATGTCTGTCTCCCCCACAGTTGCAAGGCATCTCTTCTTCTGTACTGGCTCCTTTGAGGGGCCTAGTCCTAACTGACTGCCTATAATATTTTTATCTAATTTAGCTGCCTATAACATTCTCCCCCCAAAGAAATACCTTGACCTGCTCTGAGGGAGTAATGCTCAATGACCGATCCGGCTGCTTCAGGCTGGTGGAGGTCATGGTTGTTGACTGACAGTTAGAGATACTGTGCAGAAGATCTCTACCTCAAGGCCATCAATAGACACAACGCATTTTCATCTTGGGTAGGTGTATAGCTCTAAATCTGGAGGAGACAAAGTCGAAGAAACAAGTATGTATTCATCAAATAATAGGATCAACAGGATAATTATGAACATAGTCAACAAAGATTTCCACTAAGAGGAGCTAGTAATGGCTTCTCATAAAGAAAATAAGTATTGAAGATCTTGAGGGTCATATTTAAATGAGGAATTGTATTTTCTTAATTATTATAAGGCTATCAAATTGTTTTACTCATACTGATTGGGTTGTATAGTGACTTTTGGGCAGTTATTCCTTTTTATGTAAATTGTCAAATTATGTGGATAAAGAAGTCATTTGTACTTGCCCTTTGAGTTCTTGATGTCTTCTGGGCACTGTTTCATTCCTAATGTTGTTAATTTCTGTGTTCTCTTTTTTCTTTTTATCTGGCTAGAAATTGTTAATTTTCTTAATCCTTTTACAAAAACAGGCCTTCATTTTGTTAACTTTCATTACTTATTTTTTTCATTTTCTTTATACTCTAGTTATTGATATTTTTTTCACTTCTTGTGCTTTGAATTTTTCTCAGTTCCTGAGATAAGAGTTTAGATTACTGAGAGTTTTACTCTTTATTGTGGAGGCATTTAGTGTTATAAATTTCCCTATCAATACTGCTTTAGCTGTGTCCTACTCCACTTTGATATGATCTATTTACATTCTCTTTCAGTTCCATGTACTTTTTATTTGCTATAAGTCTTATGTCATGACCCATGAGTTATTTATTTATTTATTTATTTTAAATTTATTTTAAGAATAAAAGAAGCAAAACATATTAACAAACAAACATCCATTTACAAAACAGCATAAGAACAATAAAGACAATACAGAGTTACAGACAAAGTGGTAGGAAATTAAAAATAGTTGCTGTATTACATACTGATATATTCAAAGTGGATTCTCAGGAAAGCAAATAGAGACATGCAAGGTTGATTGAGTAAGTAATCATTAACTGGTACTTTCAGTAAAGTGATAGAAGTCAGTAGTACAGCTATGTTAGCTATCCTGCACATATATACATACATATATAATTTCCCCTTCTGACCCATGGGTTATTTAAAAATGACATATTTAGATAATTTATATTTACCATACAGTAGTTGTTAATATGTTGGGACTTAAATCTGTGCATTTTATATTATTTTATTTTATTTTTTGGTACCAGAAATTGAACTCAGGACCTTGCACTTGCCAAGCAAGTGCTGTGACACTGAGCTGTATCCCTGGCCCAAATCTGCATTTTATTTATTGTTCTTTTATGTGTTTTCTTTTTCTCTTTACTGCATTCTTACACTATCCTTGAACACTGATTAAAATTCCATTTTGATTAGCCTCCAGTGTTTCAGTGTATCTCTTTGCTTGAGGTGCTACATTGTGTGTTTGCAACTTATCATAGTCTACTGGGATAGATATTTCACTAATTCCTGTAAAGTTTGCTGCCTTATCTACTTTTATTTCTTTTTATCCTATTTTTTTTTTACAATATGTCTTCAGTGTTTCATCTAGGTATGTTTAAAATCACTCCAGAAAACACATTTTTTTTTAATCTATTAGACCCAATTTAGAGAAGTCAGGAGAAGAAATAAAAGGTATTGTGCTTTCTTGTATTTTAACTATTTCATCATATTACTGCAAGATGCTCCAACATTTCATTCCTAAAAATCACTTTTACTCTGTTACACTTCTATTTTTTAGGGAAATTTTTAGTTTTTCCCTCATCTGAGTGTCATGTCTTGATCTTACCCTCATTCTTGAAAGACATTTTGTTAATGTAAAATTCTGATTTCTCAGTTCTTTCCTTTCAGTATTCAAAAAATTGTATGCCATTTCCTTCTGGCTGCTATGGTGTCTGGTAAGTCCACTATCAATTAAATGATTTCTCCTTTAAAGCTATCATTTTCTAGTTATTTTCAATATTTTATTCTATTTTTGGAAAGTTTGACTACGATGTGTCTTTGTCTGAGTATGGATTTCTTCAGGCTTCTGTTTAGGATTTATGAAATTTAATTTTTAGTTCATCTTTTGTCAAATTTTGGAGGTGCCAGTCATTCTTACTTTGAGTACTTTTCTACATATTCTCTTGCCCTATTTCATATCCCACATGACACGAGTGTTAGATCTTACCTGAAGCTCTGGGGTTTTTTTGTTTTTATTTTTTGTACTAGAGATTTAATCTAGGTACATTCTGCCAGTGAGCTCTGAGCAGTATGCACAGTCTTTCTCTTTCTTTTTCTTTCTTGGAGACGGAGTCTCACTAAGTTGCTCAGGCCAGCTTCATGCTCATGATCCTCCCGCTTCAGGCTTCTAAGTAGTGGGGTGTGCACCATCACACCTGGCTTCTTCTCTCTCTATTAAAAAGACTATATTCTTCTCTATTATTCAGACTCGGTAGTTTTCATTGATCTATCATTGTTTCTTTTTACTCTTTCTTCTATTTTGCTGTTAATCAATATCCATTTAGTTGCTTAAAATTTTTTCTATTGTGTTTTTCAGTTTAAAAAAATTCCATTTGGTGTTTTTTTTTTTAATATGGCAAGTATAAGGTTTTTATTTATGTTTAGTTGGAAGAGTAGGGAAAAATATGTCTATTCCATGAGTTCAGAAACAGAAATTTGATTTATCTTTTTTTTCTTTAAGATTTTTTTTCTAAATTTATTAAAGCATCCCTATGAATTTTTCTTGGTCAGATTCCTCACTCACTTTGTTTTTAAACTTTTATTGTTAGGAGCAGCTGAAGCTGGAAAGTAATTATGCTTGGAGGACAGAGCCAGGCCTAGAATAGGGGAGCTCCTTGAACCATGTAAACAAGCTGTTCCAGCTTGCAAGCTGGTTGTTAGGCAGAGAGGTTGAAATTAACATCACCCTCCTGACAGTATAAATAAATGCCCTACAGTTATAGGCAGTTCCTCTTCTCAGGTCAGGAGAGAGGGGGCCTCCGCTTGACCCCAGCTTTTTGGCTCTTGTCTATTTCTTCCTTATTCTTGCCATCATTCCTTCTTGGGTTACAGGAAGAACTCAACGGATCCGTACATTTTA